GTTACTCACAAGTAAAACACCATATACTGACATTCCCTATTTTACTGGTATGTTACTCACAAGTGAAACACCATATACTGACATTCCCTACTTTACTGGTATGTTACTCACAAGTAAAACACCATATACTGACATTCCCTACTTTACTGGTATGTCACAAGTGAAACACCATATACTGACATTCCCTACTTTACTGGTATGTTACTCACAAGTAAAACACCATATACTGACATTCCCTACTTTACTGGTATGTTACTTACAAGTAAAACACCATATACTGACATTCCGTAATTTACTGGTATGTTACTTACAAGTGAAACACCATATACTGACATTCCCTACTTTACTGGTATGTTACTCACAAGTAAAACACCATATACTGACATTCCCTACTTTACTGATATGTTACTCACAAGTAAAACACCATATATTGACATTCCGTAATTTACTGGTATGTTACTTACAAGTGAAACACCATATACTGACATTCCATACTTTACTGATATGTTATTCAATGTTAAAAAATATGTGGATTCCCAATCATCTGGCTTCATCTGTTTTTGATATAGAGTATAAGTGTTAAGGTCTTGGTATAAGTGACCCTAAAAAATATAGTATCCCATATACCTACTAAAGAATTCAGCGATTCTCTGTGAATTTTATACTCACCTTCAACATTACACAACTAGACAATAGTTTCAGGTGTGTGTGTGTGTGTATATGCCAGATGTAGATATAATTACTAATATTTATCATAAAGCTAAGATAATAAGAAAACTTACATGATTACCACAATTACAAAACAATTTAAGTATATGACAAAAATCAAGACTGGATAGTGGTAACCTGAGTATTACTATACTAAATCACTACATTACAGCACCCCATGGTAGCTTTACCAAACTTCTGTGGTATTTCCACATATAACAATAGAATACCCTCATATTTCTACCTACAAGACTAAAAAAGGCTTTACATATTCATTAAATGAAGCCTGAATTAATGCTATGTATCCATTTGCTTTCTATTGTAAGAATTTTGAGAAGATGATCTCAATTGTAATTGAAAATTTGTATTTAAATTTTATTGTTGAAGGATGAAGGGATTTTATTAGCACTTGACTGGTATTGAATTGATATTTTAATGATACCGTGTCAAATACCACTATTCTTTATCATAAATATTCCTGTATTTTTAAGATGATACATTTAGTATCTTACTACCATCAGCTTATTCCCCATTTACATGTGACGATTTACACTCCAACATTTTTAGTTTCTACCAAAATTTTAAATGGAAAGTAATCATCAAAACATTTGATGTGAAACATTTTTTTCCTTACATAACCAAATAAATGGTAATTGGCAATTTTTGTTGCTTATGTATCTGTCAGAAAGTTCCCCCACCCCCAAGTTTATTTTATCACATAAAATTAAGAAAGTTTCATAATGTCCAGAAGTTTCTATCTCTCCAGTATTTAAGTAATTTTGCTAATCCCACTTTTGAAACAAGTGCAAAACCACTTTAGTATGTGTGTATAAATTCAGTGTAAGGCATAGAGAAACAGGTACTACATGTATGATTCTTGTAGGCTGGTAAAAGTTATATTTTTTTTAGGTTAGAAAGATGACACTAAGTGAAATTTATTTCCAAGTACATGTGTAAGAGGCTAAACATTTTAAACTCTTCCTTCTCACAGGAGAGTCCTTGAGGATTTATGGAATTCTTAAGTTTCCAAAACTTTTCACTATATTGTACATGTTTTAGAACTAAGGAATTTCTTAGAATTGCACAGTAAAAACAGACAATACTTGGATGCCTGAATTTGCTTTACAATGTAAACCTATGTGATACACTTTAGAACTAAGAAATCTCTTAGCATTGCACAGTTAAAAACAATACTTAACAATTTACACCTATGGTACATATAACATATAGACTTCGTTCGCATCAACAAAATTGTTCCAAAAATAATGCAAAAAAAAATCTATTTATCATAACCAATACCATTTCCTGACCTTAAACAGCAGCACTATCCAAAAACTGGATGAAGTTTGATGGTTAACTTCTGTATATCTATTCACTGGATGAAGTTTGATGGTTAACTTCTGTATATCTATTCACTGGATGAAGTTTGATGGTTAACTTCTGTATATCTATCTATTCAGCATGGGATATTTTAGCATTAAGAGAAAATTTAAAATTACTGTAAACCAGTGACCTGAAATTGTTTAAAAAATTCTATCCCAATGAAAAGAAAGTTAACTGACCAGTCCTACTGTATTAGAAGAGAGCTTTGGATAGCTTTGTTTACTACTTTTTATTACACTCTTTAAAGAGACTCACTTATAACATTTGATCTGTTATATGTACTCTCTGTTAATGATACTTCACTCTATCCTTTCTTCTGTTACTGTAACTAAGAATTTTGTTTCTAAAACACTACTGGCAAAAAATTTTGGCATAAGCTGAATTGCAACACACAACATATACATGTTTTTTTAAATCAACTTTCTCACAGGAAAGTAATGTTTAACTTTTTATTTAGAGCATAAAAAATCACTTTTACATTTAAAAACACATGGTGTGTATCTATGAGATACAGAAAGAAAAGGCATAAATATGTACAGTTGTTGCAATGAGAATTTATATGTACAGTTTCATATGATTCAATAATATTATGAAGGATCTGAAACATCTGAATTAAACACCAATCAACAAACTGTGTTGCTAGCATAAAAATGAAATCTAAGTTCACTCAGCATTCTGAAAATTGTTTTATTTTTTTCTGAAAAAAAAAGAAAAGAAAAATTAACAGAATCTAACTCAAATGTTGTACAAATTTTTTATCATGACAAAAACAGTACACTTTTAATTGAATAATTATACAAAAAAGATGCTACTTTTAAGAGTCAGTTACTTTATACAATTTACTGAAACCATTATTGCTTTCAAATGTGAAAAGTTTATCAGCAGTTGAGAAAAGCAATTTATAGATCATGCAGCAAAGTTAGTAAAATCTGGACTGGCCTACAAGTTCACATAAATAATATTTTTTGTCATACACATTTTCATGTAACTGCTATAACTACAGTACTTTTTTTTAATGAATTTGACTGATTACCAGTTTATTAAAGTTCTGTATATTAGGGTACATTTTGACACATTGGATCATTAAAATGGAAATAAGAAGTCAGCATAACCAATATTTCATTTATTGTAATGATCGGCAGCCCATACTGTAGTCATGTAGAGATCTCTATGTTTTAAAAGTTTTTTTCAGTATGACAGTAATCTATCCAGAATCAACATTACCTTGATAAGTCTTAAAGCGAATTAAATCACTTTACAGAACAAATAGCTAGTCATGTTAGTACTCTCATCACCAGCTGCATAGATAAACATGAGTAATCAATAAAAGAATCACGCAATCACATCTGAAGTACTATAGAAGTATCAAAATTCAGAATTCAAAAACACTTACTTTTTTTTCGGTGGTGGCTTTCCAACACGGATATTGTCCATAGAAGGTGACATAGTATCTGAAATTGAAGGTATGCTTTGTGAAACATCAGGTTCTCCTGCGGAAGCTGCTGGGGAATCACTGACATTAATAACTTCATCCTCTGGATCCAGGTTAACAGATGATCTGTGTCAATAAAATGCACAATATCATTTATTCTTATTGCATTTATTTTAAACGTATCCTGTTTTGTTCTGTTATGAGAAAGGTCCATTATACAGAATGGTTCAAAAGTTAGTTTTGGTTTGTTTGGAAGTTCACGTAAAACTACATGAGGGCTACCTGCACTAGCCATCCCTAATTTAGCATTGAAATACTAGAGGGAAGGCACTAGTCATAACCACCTACCACAAAACTCTTTTGCTACTCTTTAACCAAGAAATACTGAAATTGACAGTCACATTATAACGCCCCCATGGCTGAAAGGGGCAAGCATGTTTGGTGGGATGGAGATCCGAACTTGCGACCCACAAATTGGGAGTCGAGCACCCTAACTAACTGGCCCAAAAGTTAGTTGTTCCACAATTAAATGTTATTTATATGGATAACATTTTATCTGTAGTAGTAAACCTCAATGTTCCTTTGTCAATAACACTCATGTAGTTCACTTACACTTGTACATTTATCTGAAACATAAAAACTAAAATTGATTAACAAATTGCTCTAATGCAACTCAATTTGAACCAGCTTGTGTATTCTGGGTCAACACGAGCAGATGACTAATATTAATAAACTATGCAAAATGGACAAATTTTTGGAAATTTTTTGGCCACTATGGTTTGTAGGTATACCCTGCATTTTCTGCCTTTTCATTTTACTGTATAATCAAAATTGTTCATTTATTATAAATCTGTGCAGCTGTTGCATAACACATGGTAAAAAAAACAAAAACTGTTGACTTTTTTTCTAGCAGCCTTTTTTCCTTTGTTGTTTTCTAGAGATAAAACCTGTTCTGCCCAACCTATGAAAGAATGTATCAAGTGATATCTTGAGGTTAAAGCTTTCTCCTATGTTGTATGAAAATATCCAGTCATATGTGTAGTGCTTGTCACTATGGGTAAATCTGATGTTTCCCATTAAGTAAGGAATATTAGATTTAAGAATTACAATACAAGATCTCAAATTAGTTGGCCTGTACAAAAACACCTTGAGCTCCTTTTGTAGATTAGTCCTCTAAGATTTTCTTCTCGAGTGTCACTCTTAACAATAAACCTACTGCCCATTTCAACTTTGTTGGAAAAACATAAATATTAAGAGTCATGCAAAGTTAACTTCTTAGTTGTTCTTTATAAAAATGACTGAATTATACATTTTTAAATTTTTTTTTCGGGGGTTTTAAGTCTTATTTTGTCCTTGGATGTTTATATTGGTAAAAGTCAACATTAAAAAAAAGAAAGAAAGAAAAGAGAATAAAATATAATTAGGAACAGACAAAAATTCATTGCACTGAACTAAACTGCACTTTTATAATATTGAAAAACCATACAATCTTTAAAGGAATTTAATTTGGGTTTTAAATGTAGCATTCTTTGTAATGTACCAGAGTTTTCAAATCAGAGAAATACATCTGCGTAGTATTACACAGAAGATGAGGACATTAAAATCATCTGTCATTGTATTTTGTTCTTTTAAAATTCAGAATTATTCAGCTCAATAATTAACTTATTTCCTTTACAAAACAGAAGATTATGAACATGTGTAAAATGATAAACAATTTGGCTTGTTTTGAGGAAGATGTAAAAATAATAAATTTTGTATAATCTTAAACTTCAAAACATTATATCCCATTTATTGAAAATATGCAAAATAACGAAAATATCACAAGCCATTCACATATAAAGTATTTGTCTGATAGTAGTCATTTTAGGATTAGAATCTATACTAACAAGTAATGAATTGAAAGAAAATTTCACTGGCTCAAAACTGACTTTTATTACAAATATTAATTTAAAAAATGCTGAGTCAAACTGATTCAGTGCTTTTATTTTAAAAGAAATTAGATTAATTTTCCATCTGACTATTTGCTAATTTTAACGACATCTTTAGCTTGTAGAATGGAAATGTTACTATGCACTAAGATGTTAATATCATAAACATACATTAAACAACCTGATCATTGATTAAATCACCACATACTTACATTTCAACAGACTCTTTCTTCCCAGACTGGCCAGGAGGCCATTTAATGTTATCTTCACCTTTCAGGCATGAACTAGGATCTGGCTCCATTGTTTGTAGTTCCTCCAACTGTAGTGGAGGTTCAGCTGTTTCAGTAGTAGTGGTTTCTTCAACCTCCTCCATGACAGGGAACTCTATCTCTGACACTGGTTCTTCTTTGATCCTGTTAAATCAAGCATGAATTAAGATTAATTAATTTTTAGATAAAAACAATTTAATAACTTCTCTACAGATTGTCTTTTTTAAACAAACCATATGTCACCTAGTGTTTTCTTCATGGCAATTACACTATACTAATTTGTTACAACATGTAATAATCCATCTTTTAAAGTCCTCTTGTCATCACTGTTATTGGAGTGTACAACCAACCTGTATTCTGTAACAAAATGTGCTGTTCGTCATGAGCACATTTTGTTTTTGTCATAATGACCTCGATTTGCTAAACCCAATATTATTGAAATAATTCTAAAGAGCATTTCCCACTTATTCTCAATTATTTACGTATTTTACATGGATGTGCAAACAGATTGTAATATTTTCCTACCAATAATATGAGTAAACAAGTGTAAACTATTCTTAATTTTTTTTTTTTTACACAAATTGAAGTGTATTTCTAGACATTTCTATTAATTCACCGAAATTAACAAACTTGTAGATTATTGATAGTTTCTGGTGAGGTTTTAATATCAAAGTACTGAGCTAATAAAGATACATTCTGAAGATAGATGTCATTATTAACATTAATGGAAACAATTGTAGTAATTCATATTGGCTATAAACACTATCCAGTTTTTTACAAGATTACTATTAAGGTACTTGGGGACAGCAACATCATCCAACGGTAGACCCAATTCCTCCAGTTGTGCCTGGACACGAAGGCCAATAGAAGGAATTGCAGACCATCTATTTTGAAAGAGCATGGCCCACTGAGGAAGAAAGACAACCCCAGGTGGGATGCTGTTGTAAGGATCGAAGCTTGGTAGCATATTGCAAAGAAATTTGCAAACAGCGGAGGTGAAGAGGAGGTACGTGGGACACTGTGTACAAACTCTGGACTGGAGAAGTGTGGAAAGCCCTAGATGGTGAATGGGGTCCAGCATCTTCAAAACTGAGGTCCTGGCAGAACAATAGACCAGAGACCCATAGTCCAGTTTGGATTGAATGAGGCACGATAGATCTTGAGCACAGAACACTGATCCACTCCCCAAGAAGTGGAAGAGAGAACACAGAGGATATTCAGTGCCCTTGTACACTTGACACGTAGCTGCTTCATGTGACGAATAAAAGTAAGCTTATGATCAAAGATAAGCCCCAAGAACTTTGCCTCAGGAAACACGGGAAGAACAACATCAACGAGACAGAACTCGGGATCAGGGTAAAGACCCCGCTGGCAGCAAAAATGCATGCAAATGGTTTTGGAAAAAGAAAAGGTGAAACCGTTTGATGTGATCCACTTCAACAAGCCATTGAGGGCAGTATGAAGCTGCTGCTCAATAAACCTCATGTTTGACAACCAACATGAGATGTGAAAGTCTTCAACATAGAGCCCGTTTGCAACAGCAGGAGGAAGTTATGTAACGATAGCATTAATCTTCATACTGAAAAGTGTGACACTCAAGCCCTGAGGGACTCCAAGTTTCTGTGTAAAAGATGAGAAAGAGTTGAACCCACAGGGACTTGGTTTCGCCTGTCCAGTAAAAAGTTCTGAATAAAAATGGGTAAATGGTCACGCAACCCATATCAGTGGAGATCCCGCAAAATGTTGTTCCTCCACATAGTGTCGTAAGCCTTCTCAAGATCAAAGAACATGGAGAAAAGATCTTCTCTTCTGAGGAAGGCTTCCTGATCGAGGTTTCAAGTTGAATCAGGTGGTCCACAGTGGAGTGCTTTCTATGAAACCCACACTGGGTGGGCAAGAGGAGGTTGTTTGATTCAAAGAACCAAACAAGATCAGCATTAACCATCCTCTCTAGGACCTTACAGTGACAGCTAGTCAAAGCAATTGGATAATAATTAGAAGGAATCTTGGGGTCCTTCCCAAGCTTAGAGAAAAGGGAGGACAATACCCTGTCGCCAAGCATCAGGAAAAATGTTCTTCTGCCAGGTCCAATTAAAAACAACCAGAAGAATAGCAAGAGAGGCAGCATCTCATAGTGACTGATGAAGGGCAAGTTTGAGTTCCACCAGTGTAAGGAGGCAATTATAGTCATAGAGACGATTGGCCCAAAAGGAAAGAGGCGATCACTCTGCCCGAGAATTGATAGCAAAGAAGGTGAGGGAAGAAACAGAAGTGCTGGATGCACAAGAAAAACTCTCACCAAGAGTATCGGTGATGTTTTGTACATCAGCAACTTCCTGGCCACTGGAGTGAAAGATGGAAGAGGAATGGGAAGAATACCTCCCATTGACCTTCCGAATCTTGTCCCATATGACTTTGGAACTGGTGGTAAAAAGAGATTCTAGTTGTGAACTTAATTCAAGATTCCTTTTGGCTTTGATGTTTGACCTGCCAAGCATAGGAACGAGCCTGCTGGAAAGCAATGCAGTTGGAAAGAGTGGGATACTTGGGAAAAGTATCCCAGGCACGTTTCTGAGCCCTCCATGCCTGCTGGCAGACTGGAGACCACCATGGACGAGGATACCATGGGAAATGTGTCAAGGTTTCTGGTATAGAATGAACAGCTGTTTTAATGAAGCAAGTTCTGAGAGAGATGGTCCAGCTTCCACCCTTGCACTCAGGTTGGGTACCATTGACCACAGCTAATCTCCCTCAAAACAATAGGAAAATGATCACTGTCAACCCTCCAAGAAAAGCAGGAGAAAAATGAAGGAGCACAGATAGATAGATCAATGGCATTAAAAGACTGATTAAGTGCATGAAAATAAGTATAAGAACTAGTATTGAAGAGAGAAAGGTTGTGATCTGAGAGCATACACTACCGAACAACCCCACCCCCAATCGATATTAGCAACATCCCAGAGGGGATTGTGTCCATTAAAGTCTCCCACGATTAAATAGGGAGACAGCATCTGTTCAATGAGAGCATAAGTCTCTTCAGGAGACAGGTAGAGAGAACAAATAGTGATGGTACAACCTAAGGAAACATGGATGATTACGGCCTCCAAGGGTGTATTGAGTGACACTGAAAAGGTGGGCACGTGCTGGTCAACAAGCAGTGCCACCCCTCTATACACTCATCCATCACACAACCTGTCATTCCGGTATAAATAAAACTGCCGAAAGGTGACTGTATCGGCTGGTTTCAGGAATGTTTCCTGTTAGGAATCAATCAAGGCCTTAATATCATCCAGATTAGAATGAAAACTTTGACAGTTCCACTGTATCAAAGTGGTCATTTTTACTTAGGTGGAGGAGAGCTGGGCAGGGAATATTTCTGTTTATGACCATGCCATTTTTCTTTACTAGGAGGAGGTCTGTCAACCTCAATAGATCCTGCCCTTGGTCGAGTGGGCAGACCTCTGTCATTAGGTTTAGATTCCAGCAACTGAGGGCATGAACGAATAATCATTCTGCATCTGTCCACCTCTTTGGCCCTGAGACAGTGGAAGGAATGGTGGGAACAGAGAAAGGAGTAGATGTTGACTTGTCAACTCAGTTATTCATTGGGAGCAAAAGACTCAGATGGAGGTACAGAAAGGTCTGTCTGCACTCCCACTGTAGCAGTGGAGCATAGTGCAGCAGCATATGTCCAAGATGGAGTAGGGACAATAACTTCCAAGCCTCGGGTAAGAAATGTTGTTACCAGTTTTTAAACACTGTACTTCTTTCTCCTCCACCCACTTTGGGCAAGATCTATAGTAAGAGGAGTGGGAACCACTACAATTAACACAGTGAGGGTCTAGTTCACACTCGTAGGCATATATTCCTTGCCACCTCAAAGAGCACACATCATAGAACCTCAACAAGATGCCTTCGATTGATGGAACCGCTGACACTGGAAATATCTGAAAGGGTTGAGAAAATATGGCCATACCTTACAGTTCAGATAATCTGCCTTGACAATGGCAGGTGGATGTCACGATGTAAACGTCAAAATAAGAACATTGGTAGGCAGCATAATTCCTTCTTTATTAGTGGAGATATGTCACACTGCAGAAACTCCTTGGCTGGACAAACCAGCGAGATCTACGACTTGGGGATTTTCTTAAAATACCTCTCAACAATAACTCCTCATGAGGAATTCAAAGTAGCATGGTGAGTAACCTCAATGGATATATCCCCAATGGCCTTTGAATTCAGGAGGAGTTTGCTGTGTTTTGGTGTGGATGTTTCCACCAAAATGTCCCCAAAACGTAGCTTCTTGAGTGACTTTGGAGAGCCAGCAAGCCCGTCTAATCCCTTCTGAATAAAAAAGGGAGACATTTGTCCTAAAGGTTTTTCTAACAAGGAATGCAAAGTTAAAAAATGAGATACAGAAGCAAGATGAGTTGAAGATTGATGATCAGAGTTTTCAATGTGCAGTCATTTACCAATAAGCTGAGTTTTTACTATTTTTAGTTTTTTTAGGATTTGGGGGATCCATAATATAAGGAGAAAGATTCAGTGCCCACTGACACCACCATGGGGTCCTATGAGGGGATGCACTACAATGCCAAACAAGGACACTGCAGCAATGACAGAGTTTCATTAGCACTATACCCAAACACTAGCATCAGACACAATGTCCACAACACCTGTTGAGAACACCAACACTGGTACTCTGTTGAGTCTAGCCCGACAGGACCAGGTGACTGACCCTGAGAGGGGGGGGGGCACCCGAAGGTTACCCATCTACATGAATTTAAGGCCAAAGTGGTGTGTGTTGCAGTGCCCCAGACACCAGTATCCTCTCCTCACCTTCACGGGTCACCACCCACAGCATGTGGGTGGATGTTCAGGAATCCACCATGAAGGACACTACTCAATGAAACACGAGTTGCCAGTAGTTGCTCTTGACCAGCTGTCTTCTCTCTAATCTATCAGTTCAAAATCTGAGATAGCTATGCACAATTACCTCCTTTTTGTGGCTTTGCAAAATATATTCAAATATGAACAACTATGCACCAAGATATATTGTCTACTATATCAAAACTCACAGCCATAAAAGAATTAACAATTACAAAAATTTTTAATTTTGATATTTTTCAAGATATGTTTATAAAAGCAAATCAAACTGAGTACAACAACAGTTAAAAAAAGTATCTTTAGTTTCAAGTTTACTGAAGAAAAATATCTTATTGATTAATTTTTCAGAGATATTAGGAAAAGTCAATGGAATTTAATGAGGCTTTATAAATACTTCTTGTATAAAATTACATATAAATGTAATATATGGTGAGGATAAAAATTCCTTTCAAAGTGTGTGTGTGTGCAATTTTGAATTTTAATACAGCATGTAATCAAAATTATCCGATAATACCATGACTGTTTCAGTTATTGAATTTTCATCTTTAAAGATCTTAGATAAATAATAAAACTGAATACACTGAACCTTATACTGGTTTTTAACACAAGTTGAACTATATGGTCATTAATACATGGCTTACTTTGTCAATTTACTATCTTCTGTAGGCTTAACTTCTGGTCTCCTAAGTTTCTCATAGTCATGCATCAACTGCTGACAAGTCTTCATCATCCCTCTGTGGTAAGCCACAACCCGGTGTTGATAAAAATTGTGAAGTTCTGTCATACTTCCAAGCCCAATCTCATGAAATACTTGCTCAATAACATCCTGAAATAATAATAATTATATTATTAAGATCTAAAAAAGGCAATTAGCCACAGTGGAGTATTAATATGTTTAACACCAGGGGACCCAACAGTGGTTGGATGTGACATCCTGCAGCACAGGTAACTGTTGTCACAACATATCTCTACAATATGTGGTACGGCTTCCCCCACATCACAGAACTTATAGCTTTATATAACTCAATACGATATGGAGAGTCAAACCTCCCTGTTCATCATCCACCGATTCAAGTATTCCTGGGAGCAAGTTTCTACCCATTTTTAAGTAAAAAAATACTCTAATTTAACTCTTTATATTCTGTTGAAAACTCAAAGAATAATAACATTTTTCTGTTATACTCTTCTATTAGACAATTATTATGAGATATAAAAATAAGTTTTCCTTTAGTTAAAAAACAACAACTCAGTTAGGTGACATCTTCAGTCATCAACCTAGATAAGCTAATGTAAGTAAATTGAAGTTTTCCAATTTTTATCATATCCTCTTTATTGATGGTCTTTGAAATGACTTATGATGGACCCAAAACATGACAACCTAATGACATTTCATTCTGTAAACTCCACCCAACCCTAGGGCTAACAGGTTGCTAATTTGACTTGGTAGATATTTCTAATTGGGGTATCGGAAAGTAATGTCATTTTAGTTACCTTAAATTCAAATGTTTCTAATTATGTGCTTTGATTTAGCAGGCAAAAGAAACCTTCTTGTTCAATTTTCTATTAACAAAAATAGTTTTCCTCTAATCAAACGAAATGACTGACCATATACCTAATGAGAATCACATTTAACATGCTTTATGAGTTTCATAAATGACAATGAAGACAACCAAAACCATTCGTGGGGTTTATAAAGATGCTTTGATGTCTACAAATGCCAGCAGGGGTTCAGAAAATTTAGGTCAGGTGATTTTGATCTCTCAGGTTGCCATCTTCAGGGAGACCAGTAGAATTGGACAATGACCATCCGAGGTCAGAGGTTGAGTCAGACCCCATCAAACCATCCAACAATTGTCAGAAAAACTTAATTCTTCTTGGTCTAGCATTCAAGAACATATTAAACAGACTTGGAAGGTCAATAGACAAGGAGTTTGGGTTCCACACGAATGGTCAGATGACAAAAAAAACCAGTACATAACAATTTCAACTCACAGACATGAGAAAGAACCATTTCTTCATCGGATTATTACAGAAAATAAGAAATGGGTTCTTTATGTCAACACCAAGCACAAGAATCAGTGGCTTAGTCCTGACTTGAACCCAATTCCAACAGCCAAACTAAGTCTACACCCACAGAAAGTCTTGTTAGTGGGACAGAGTCGGCATAATTCACTTTAAGTTATTGAAACTGAATCAGTCTATAACTGCAGACCTTTATTGTCAACAACTGGACAATTAGCATCAGGCTCTCATTGAAAAACACTCAGCACTGATCAACAGAAAAGGGGTCATTCTACAGCATGACAATGTGAGATCACATTATGCAAGAATGACTAAGAACAAGATCAGGGATTTGTATTGGGAAGTCCTGCCTCATCCTCCATACTCTACTGACATTGCACCTTCATATTACCATTTATTGAGATCTATGTAGCACTTTCTCAGTGATAAAACACTCAGAAATATTGACGGCATCAAAACTGCTTTCACAGAATTCTTTGTCTCAAAGGAAGCTTCCTTCTATCTACAAGGAATTGAAAGCTTGATTGAAAGATGACACATTGTCATTAATAATAATTGGGATTATGAAAGTGATTGAAAAATAAATACTTTTAAAAAGATTGTTAACTGTATAAGGAAAAAACAACATTACTTTCTGGTAACCCTAATATTAAGCTCTTTAATAATTACAAATGGAAACAACTATTAATGTTTGGCATTATCATACAAATGAGTTTCCTTCAATGGAAATAATGCCTTTGGAGTGATATTCTTTAGTTTCATCTTTGCACATCTACACTTTTTACAACCATTTGAAATTTATGTTGCTTATTTTATTGATTTTTTTGTCAGAAGTGCTAGAGATTACTCTCAACATCAGGTAACTACACATACCTTTTATAACTAACATATTTTCAAATACATGTAATCCTGATAAATACTCATGCTTTAGGTTTTGTAACAAAAGAACAATTAAAACTTATCTTAATGTGTTACTATCTGAACTACAAACAAATATAGAGAAACTTGTGTGACACAGATCCCGAGTAAGGATGAAACCAGTCTGACACAGATCCCGAGTAAGGATGAAACCACAGATATTGTATAGGTTTCCATTTTGAACAGTAATCTATCTGTTTTGTGAAATAACGAAAACTGTTTGAATTAGACAGGTTCTGTCCTTATTCAGAATATGTGTCAGACATGTACATATATATATATATATATAATGAAATTTATTTAACACAGAAACTAGTGGGATATATATATACATATTACATCTCATGGTCAAGTACGGCAGCAATATCAGTAGACTAAGGACATCTTCAGATCTCTAGCCTGTAGAGAGAAAAGATTATTCCAGAATGTGTATCAATCACTCTGATGAATACATAGCTCTAACAAAAATGGAAGGGCATCAATCTAAACTTTGACTTTCAAATTTTATGAATGTAGACAGGACAAATACAATTATAAACAACAATAATTCCATTTTTGAAATGATTTTTTGAAACTTATGGGAAACTGACATGTGAAAAAATAACCAGGCACTAAGATCACATAAAAATAATTTCCATCTGGCAATTCCTTTTTTTTCAAATATCAGTCACAAAAGGGTTCAAAATTCATAAATATGTTTTATTAATAACAGGCTGATTCTTAACAATCAGTTTTATGGCCATTAAATCAATTTCCAATGATTCAAAATATTCCTAACTGTACAGTGCGGTACTGAGTTTGTTTTCCAACACAAAATATATTGCTGGGTGGCCATGTTTTGTTTTGTATAGTACTTTAAATACAGTAAATGGCATCAAAAATAACCAAGTTGAAACATGTGCAACATGTCTGAATGTCCAATATTCCTGAAAATCATTTTATAATTACTGCTTGTTAAGAGTCACACTAAGCTTCTACCAACTATCTTCACATATATGAGCAAATTCACTACATCAAGTGGTTACTTTGTCAAAAGAGATCAGTGATAAGCTACAGTGAAGTACACAATGGATCTTAGAATTCATCTTCTAATACATTATCACACTCCACTTTTTTTCACAGTTAAAATAAATTTTCCAACAATTTATTCATTATGCTGGGGGTAAATGTTTTACTTTTGTGCTTAATATATTATAATAAAAAATATATATGAAAAGAGTTTCCCTTCAGTAGATGTTAGCAACCATAATCACAAATTAGATGGAATATAATACTGAGTGAGATAAATACAGTACGTGTACCATCAGATAACTTTCTAGGCTCTCTTTTTTTGGCCAATAACGATTTTGACCACCACCCCCTCTATTTAATTCTGAGAAGATACATTGTAGGTCATCATGCTGTTCACCATCACATTTCACAAAGAATATAGAGGCTAGGAATTTCTGATGTGCAATCAATCATGTGTCAATATAGTTAACTATCCTAGTGTGTATTTTATTTAGTTTTCTGTAAATGTTTTACAAAACTATTTTAAAGAGCAAATTAACATAATCTATGATCTTAAGAACTTTTCTATTAAACAATTGATTACTGACCACAAATGCAGTATTTCCAGTCAGTGCTTCTCTATCCCTTGCAACCCGCATCAGACGACAAACACGGAGATAGTGGTCATGAACAATGTCCACCAAAGTTTCTAAGACTAATTCACTGGTGGCTGTTAAGAAATTGTTTATAAAAAGTGTAAAAATCATTAAAAATAAATAAATAACACATCATTAAACAGTAATATTATATAATATAAATGTATAAATGCACATTGTAATTAAAAGTTATAACTATCATTTCTCAAAACACATCTTTCACAGACACTAACAAATAATGTGCTAAAGAACAACTATGCTTAATTCTTATGTCCTTTTCATGACTTTTTAAAAATTATGTGAAAAAATTTTTCAGAAGTATTGAGTGTTATTTAACTAATTATTTTTTGTCATAAATAGAATGATTTCCATCCTAATAAAAACAGCTTTAATATTGTTTGCTTTGATTTATTAAATTTTCTTTGATGAAATAAAATTGTTCTGAAGTAACCATAAACTACTCTAAGAAAAGCCTAATATGAAGTATTTACTTAATTAACAAGATAGATAAAAATTGGGAATTTAAAAATCTGTAGATAAGGGTCATAAGAAAAGAAAGCAAACAAGGCTGGAGGTACTGTAGACATTATTTACTCAAAACTACTAACCCCTATCTTGATTGCTTGTTTTTTTATATGCTCAACTAGTAGCTAGTTGATACTGTTCATGATGATTTACTGTAGCTATTGGCTATTAGTTCGAGATGTAAAATGTTAAGCTGCAGCTGGAGATCGTCATGGAGATTTGTTTGAGAATATAGTGAGCATTTATAGCATCTATGTAACTAAATTCTCTATATATAATGCATAGCAATGGGCAAATATATGATAAGACTAAGGCACAACCCCCACTATGTGCATATAAAATCTTACCAGAAGAAATATATCCTTTTCAAAGAAAACACATACATCTGAAACATCACTTTAAATAAACCTTCATGTTTTCTAAAGTAATTACTCTGATATGTGTGTAAAAAAAAATTAATATAATTTTTATTACTCCTTCACTTCATACATAACATGGGAGTTAGCTCCCTAAAGACACCGATTGTATAGTGTACAAAACATCGAGTATCTACATGTTACAGTCATCTAATTTTCACTTAAGCTGTACTTAAGCTTTATAAAGGAACACCAGATTTTGTAAAAAAAACTACTTCAAGGGGTAATGATAGCATCATTTACATTAGAATTATGATGTTTTTAGCTTATATAAAATATAGAAGAAACAAATTAACTTTTCAATACCCCCTATGACCTATGCAGTACCTTATTCTGTATTCTACAAAAGGTTTAGCAACAATATACCAAGCCGTTTTTGTTGTAGGCTAGCATGGCAAGTGAATAATAATAAGAAGAAGAAGAATTACAAACAGGCCATTTTTAGCAATTTTATTTTCCTTATAAATCTAATATATGTGCTTTTCTTGTGCATTTTTATATGTGTACAGTCATAGCAGTCAATCAAAGGTTTTAAAGTGTTGTTCGAACTGAATCTTTAATGTTTAAGGAGGTTTTTTGCCCGAATGTTTTATTAGGGTTTTTTGCAATTCCTTGTGATCCTTATTATGAATCACTACCATGATTCATGATACATAATCATCTATCATACGAGAAAAAGGCTAGCTATTTATACCTCATTTATAAACTTTAATCTTTTAAATATCTACCTGAATCTAGTATTGATGCAAATAAGGCTTAACTTCATTTCTTACTACAAAAATGCTTTACTATCCATTTTCTCTATTCACATTTTGTGTTAACATTTTTGTATAATAAAGCTAATAGTATAAAGCAAAACTGCACTGAAATTTATTCAATAAAGAACATAAAATATATTTGTCACTTTTGGGTTATAAAACCTGTAGCTTAAAACAATGTTTCGATGCCATAAAATAGCAAACTGGAAAATACACTTTTTAGCCTATATATATATATATATTTTTTTTCACTCTTTTTCTTCTGAATAGTGAGTTGATATAAAATTAATTGCTAGCTATTGAAAAAAAGAGATATGTATTTAGCATAAATCAGCATAACTTCTGAATAATGAGTTGATATAAAATTAATTGCTAGCTATGGAAAAAAAAGAGATGTGTATTTGGCATAAATCAGCATAACTTCTGAATAATGAGTTGATATAAAATTAATTGCTAGCTATTAAAAAGAGATGTATTTAGCATAAATCAGCATAGCTTCTGAATAATGAGTTGATATAAAATTAATTGCTAGCTATTAAAAAGAGATGTATTTAGTATAAATCAGCATAACTTCTGAATAATGCAGATTTTTAGTAATTCTATGAAAATAATAGAAAAAAAAAAGCAAAATAAAACTTACTGTCAAATCCAACATGTGCAAAAACAGCTGCCACAGCTTTTCTGAGAATCTGTCTTATGACATGAAAACTGAGTTCTGGAGGTGGCTTCCCTTTCCCTCTTACAAAATCACTAGAAATCAATTTTCTTATTGTTAAACAAATATATATATGCAACTAACCTGTAACATCACATAAAGTCTTGGAAAAGAACAACAACAAAAAGAGATTATTGTATAGGTTTTAGTAGGTGTAATTAACCTTTAGAATTTATGCACATCAGTACATTTTACTTGAACAATCATTCTGTGAATTTATTTCGTACATAACAGTTGAATTTGAGCCCATCTACAAATAAGTCCAGGGTGCATTTGGATATATTAAGAAATAATAAAACAGTTCATGCTCAAAAGGAATGTTTGAATGCTTCATTATAAAACAGAAAACTTTATCACTTCAACATGCCATTATCGTAAATGTACTCCAAAAATGAACTTGCATGGTTCAAACTGAGAGAACTAATGTTATGAACCTACAAGACATGTACCTCTACGTTCTTTAAAGAATTTAAAACACTAGTGTTAATTCTCTACCAATCATTTATTTGAAACTTTTTCTTTAAGTGTACAAATGAATCCACATTCAATAAGTTAGATAAACGTATCTGAGAATATCAGAAGTATCCATTCTAGTCATGTTAAAAACACTCCACTTTAGCCACACTTTTCTCACAAACCATTAAAAATAGAAGCTTGACATTTTTGTTATTGGTTGTATTTTGTGCTCAGTTTAGGTATTTTTTATTTCTTAGCATCAAAATTTTATTAATTATTGAGACAATAGAGTAAAAATTGTAACATAGAAAGTTTTTCTTGAATAATGATTGTACTACTTCAAATACCACACAAAGTGTTAATAAACATGTCCTGCAAAGTTTAAGTTTTCCTAACCATTATCTGAGAAAATTTACCTAAAAACTGGCTATTTTAACATGGAAAATAGACTCCTCCCTAGTCCCTTTAACCCTAACACAGGGATTTTCTGGCATTGAGTGCAAACTTGCATATAAAGTTTCAAAACGTAAGTGAAAACAATAATTTTATCTCCATTTTTGACAATTTTCTTACTAAAACATATTTTTAAATTGATATTTTATCATTAAGTAACATTTATTTAGTGTAACTCACAAATAAAAATTATATAAAAGTTCCAACTCTCATTTACGTGTAGCTCCAAGAAGCCTCATCTGTAAATAATGTATTTATCCATTTTTTAGACCTTTTCTGCCAATCTAAACATATAGGTTTATAATTACTAAGAAACAATCATCTCCTGAAAACACAATTATTCGTGTCTTGTTTTTACGTTATTTTCTTTTTCTATTAGCAGTTTTCTTAATACAGTCATTTGTCACCACCCTTTTATGATGATACAGTATGTGATCTGAACAATTATTACTGAAGCTCAGTTTTGAAAATAGCTAGAGCTAATGGGAAAAAAATGATTCAATAGAGGATATTCAAATATTCCTATATCAATAATGAACAAATAAAGTGGTTTCAATGGTAATTTGTGGTTTCTTGAGATATTTACTATCCAAAGCTCTTGTATAGGTATACAGAGAATTCTAATGTGTAATTTACAGCCCTTAGGAAAAACAGATCAGGAAATTCTTAGTTTCTTTAGACATTCTATTCATTCCTAAAATATTTTTGTGTTAAATTATATCTGTTTGAAATTTATAGAAATTATTTTGTTTTACCAGGCACTAAGATCACATAAAAATAATTTCCATCTGGCAATTCTTTTTTTTTTAAATATCAGGTAAGCTTATTTAGGTTTAATTGGTACTGTTAGCAAAGACAGAATACTCTGATGACTCAAAACATTATTCATTGAATACCACTGTTAAAATTATCACACTAAAACAACATACACAAATAAAATAAATTATCACTATTTCAAAATAGACAATATTAATAAGATATAAATTGATCTTCACCAAGAATATTGTTTACAATGCCTAGCCTAACAAAAATGATGGTGATGCCATTTTGAGAGGTACAAGGTCACCAATAAATCTTTGTCAGTTTCTAGTATGTTTTTTGTTTATGATTTACAGCTGGAAATGGTAACTGTGCAATAAGCAAAATATCAAAAGAAATGTTAAAGAATATCAGATAAGTTGAAACTAACTTGATATATAAAATGGAACTTTTTGATCAACAATAAAAAAAATTCAATTCTAAGAGGAAGGAAGTATATTTAATTAACTTTTCCTTGAAACAGCATTTTACAAAAAACTTTTGGAAATTTTAGAACCAAAAAAAAAAAAAGATAAAACTAGTAAATCAAATCACACTTTTTTTTTCACTGGAGCTAGATATTATTTTGTAAGTTTGCACTAAGTTTCATGCAATTTGGTTAAGTACTTCCACTATGAGAAGAAAACAATAGGTAATATTAGTGACAGGAGTAAGTGAACAACTTTGTACTACTTCTTTAATAACTCTTTTCAGATTGGCATAGCTTAAATAGTAATAGCTCTTTTCAGATTGGCATAGCTTAAATAGTAATAACTCTTTTCAGATTAGCATAGCTTAAATAGTAATAACTCTTTTCAGATTGGCATAGCTTAAATAGTAATAACTCTTTTCAGATTGGCATAGCTTAAATAGTAATAACTCTTTTCAGATTGGTATAACTTAAATAGTAATAACTTTTCAGATTAGCATAGCTTAAATAGTAACACACATTTCACACTGGTGATAATTGCTTCTATTAATAGATTAACATACATTTTATATTACACTACTTGGCAGCTAAATAAAGCATATTTTTCTCAATGAGATAAATACATTTTAGACTGATCAGTTAAATAACATTTCCACTGCAAATATACAGATGTTCAGTCTTACTAGGAGGTTGGAATTTACCAGACTTAATTCGTATACTATCTAGTGACATGAAGCTTGTCACCAAAATTTAGGACTAGTTTTTGTAAGATTTTCTCTATTTCTCATAGAGTTTTTACCTTGTGAACATATAAATAATTTGGTTTAATTTCAAATTATAGGCATATTTCAGCAGCCTTGAGTTTTATAAAATACTTAACTCAAAATAAAACAAATTCAGTTTGGATTAATTTGGTTTTGTATTTATCTCCAGCTACTTCCTATTGTAAAAACAGAAACAGCAGTAAAGTAAGTGTGTAAAAGTAATTTTCACTCCTAATAAATTATTACAGGCTAGACTTGTAGCTGTTGCCAAATTCTAGGATTTGACTTGAGATTTATCAAATGGCAGCTAAAGCCTTCTTATTCATTAAAATGTGGATTTACCAGCTTCTAGTAACTACTGTTAAAATTAATTACTGTTTTTACCAAAAATCTTATTGCTGGTAAAATGCCCAAGAAAAAATAACCAAATGATGTTCTGGACATCATAAATATCCATATTTTGTCAAAGAAAGCTTATAAATACAATATATATATATATATATATACATAGTAGTATTAGTAATATTTAAGATATATTTACGTTATATGCTATCAAATCACAATAAAGGATACTTTATTTTAGATGGAATCCTCCTCATAATTTTTTTAAATATTGCCTTATAAAAGTAAGAACTTAAAACTTGTATACTATTAATATACTGATTATTAGCTATGTTTTTATGTTTTGATTATTGTTATACCATGAAAAGAAAGTAGTTTAATTTTGAATGTAACTCACTAAAACCTCATGACATACACAGAAAAAGATGTCTGTAGAAAGAGGATAGACTAAAACTACTAATGCAAGACATTCTATACATTAGTTATCTCTTACTATTAATTTTAAAAAAGGAACATTTATTGCCCAACCTGTCTGGGTTCTTGCCTCTAATGTCCCCAGGCTGTCGATCCTGGCTTTCTGGATACTCAGGTACTGGTGGTGGTGGCGGATGGGTCTGAGCATTATCGGTGTCTGTTGTTTTCTAATTATATAGATTTTAATGTAACAGCCTTGTCTTTACAAAAAAAATATATATTCAAAATAAAATATTCATCAATCACTGTCACATATCAAATAGTTGGTATCATAAGTTTGGGTATAATATTTAACTCTGTAAGCAAAATAGCCAACCCAATACCCCTTGTTCCGCAATAACAAACAAAAAAAATCTTCAGTAAAATAACTTTAGTAGGAAGGCAAAATGTAAGGAATTTTTAAGCTTAATTACTTTATACATTTCTTTTATAACAACCTTTGGCAAATTAAGTATAACTTAAGAGCAGATGGAAAAATCTTTAATACAAAAACAATAATGTAACAACATCACAATGGTGTCAAGTAATGTGATAGATATCTATAGTGTATGCCTAACAATTCATGAACTAACAAATATCAAGAATCTATTAAAATATTGATATGCAGTACATATTGTGCTGATTCATTTCTTCTAACTGCATTCTGCCCGGGAAAACATTATTCAGCATTCTACACTATTCATTTATATCCTGTTCATTCATTGGTGGTATTGAAGTTAGTGCTAACCTTTAAAAAAATTACAATTTTACACACATGCTTTCTAAAAATCTGTGTTTTCAACCATAATACTGTACATTTTCAATGTAACATTATTTCACATTAACTAAGCTAACATGTAAACAGTAATGTGGCAGCTACAATGCCTAATGACAAACACCTGAACATTATACACGTGCAAAGTGGTATAGGGAATACTGGATATCTCTGAAGCTACATGTAATGTTTACGCATTGTTGAATGTTTAAACAATGAAAGATTTATTCATTTATCAGTCACCTGTTGCAATAATAGTGTGTACACTTTTCCAAATGTTATTCTAAAAAATTTGGTATTGTTTTACAAGTTTATAAGCATGTTTACAACAATGTTGGAGCCTTAACTGTTGTATCTATAATCACACAGTTACTCAATGCTCAATTACTCAGTTATTGACAATCATACATGTCTAAAGTAACCACTTAAGTCAATAAAAGTTTGAAATTCAACAGGGAATAAAAAGAAACCCACAGTTTAATAAGATAACATAAATTTTAATGTGGTGATAACAATTGAAATTCTTAACTGGGGGTAGAGTGAGACATGGCCTCATGAATGTCTAATTTGCTCCTGGTTACTGAACTCCTATGGTTTTCAAGTATACACATCCAGGACTTTTTTTGTCTCTGTTTTTTTAAAGAGGATTACTTGAAGCAGTGCAGCATTTTTCACATTACATTACATAAAAAACACTTATGAATTTGAAGTATTTTTGAAAGCTATACATCTCTGTTTATAAATGTAAGGAATAAAATGAAGAAAAGGTTAAGTTTCCTCACTATCTTTAATAGGGTTTAGTGAGTTTTTCCACTCAGTTCAAACAAAAATATTGAATGTAATTCAAGTCTAAAGACTCAGAAATGAGAACAATGTTTTTTTGTTTATTTTGAAAGGTTGGTGCATGGCCTGATAGGTTTCATTCTTCAAAAGTAATTCTGCTTTATTGGATTATAAAATAAGAAATAACAGCACCGACGGTGAGCTATAAAAACATTATCATTGTGGGTTAAATCTAAACATTCAAAAGCCTAAGTTTCTTGGTTTGCCACTTCTTCAGAAAAATAAGCAGGTTAGTTCAAAAACATAATACATAATATGGTGTTAAAAATCCTTGTCCTTATTCGGATGTGTTTTGATATAAATAAAATTTATGAAAATTACCAGTTTATGCTAATATGAGTAGCTTTTCAACTATTACAACAACTATGTCCAACCAGCCTAAAGAGCTTGATACTGGGTAAAAAGACTGGATATAGTACAGTTTACTTTCACTCAGAAATTCTTATTAATAAATACAAGATTTTCCTTAAATTAAATATTGCTAACTCCTTACTTGAAGTATTCACAAACAGTTCAGTGAGCATGACCAGATGGAAAAAGTTTTAAAATAAAGATAATGGGTATGGCCAAACCTAACACTAAGTTTTCAAAAAAAACTATAAATGATCATTTTATAACATAAAATGGTGAAATACAAAAATAAGAACATGATTAGCTAAATCAAACTGTTTCAAGAAAAGAAAACAGATCTTATCATAAAATCAGCATAGATATAGAGGGGAATGAACAAGAAATTATTTTAAAAAGATACCCTAACTGCTGTAAGGTTTTCACAAGGTTTTTAGAAGTTTATTAAAAACTTCAATCTTTTTATGCATAGACAAATAGATATTTTGTATAATACTCCAAATTCTATTCCTCAGAAGGACAAATTTTCCAACAAAACCCTTGTTTAGCTTCTCATTTTGTCCTCAAGCTTCCTACTCTGATGTTCAAATTTAAGTTAAGGGAAAATATATTTAACAGTGTTTAAACATTCCAGAAAGAATTAGCCTATATTCCTAACCCTAGTCTAAGGCAGATTCTAACTGAAGTGGAAAATATAATCATATCTTGAAACAAACATAATAAAGAAGTGTATTATTTTAACACAGTGGTATCCAGTAGATATGTAATAAATTATTTAAGTCAGTAACAGACAAAAACAACACTTGGTCATGTGTTTATTACTGTAATGAAGTTTCATCACTCTTGTATCAGTGAATATATATACATTCTTAAGCAAGGCTAAAATGTTAGACATTCTGTTAATTATAATTTGATTAATAATTAAACAATAGTCAAAATGGTCACACCATCTCTTTCATATAAATTGTCAAATGTATACTAGTCTTTTTTTTTAAAAAAAAAGTAACAGTTTAAAATAATGGTGCAGGCCAGGATGTCGATTTCTTTTGACTTGGACTTTATTTAATGAATCTTTAATTTTTATTGTGAGGTAATTTTTACACTTGTATTTAAATTTTGATATGTTTTATTTGTCCAATCTCTTTAAAGCAATTAACTAGCTCACAAAAGTAATAAAATGGCTGAAACCACTAATTCATCAATAAAAATTTTAAAGCATGCATTACAAAATACATTGAACAAAATTAAAACTCACTGAGGAATCTTGCTGTTGTTGCAATGTGTGCAACAGTGATCGAAGTTTCTTTGCATATTGTAATAGCTTGATGGTATGTAGGGTTAGGCTGTCGATAGAGCAATGCTCTGCTGGTACCCTAACAGAAAAGATGTTTTTCAATATTTGTTTCACTTCCTACACAAAATATTTATCACATCAAATAAATTCAAAAACAATCATAAAAATGTAACCCCAAGAAACAGTTTTTTCCAAGTCCAAGGAATAAAGTCAAAAACAAGTTGGAAACAACAGTAAAAAGGATTCATTAATAAGCTCAACAAAAGCAATGAGAAAATATGCATTAAGAGGAAAAAAACTACAAATATAAAGTTAAATGTTATTTACACTATGATCACATGCTTTTAAAATACATGTCTAAACGAATAAGTGTAAGAACAAATCAAACAATATAAATAAGTTCTCTCAATTAAAGGTGTATAACAAACTCTAGGTTCATTTTATAAAAGACAGGTTTGAATGTGCCATCTTTAATTAAAAACATGTTTTGAATGAACAATATACATTACAAACAACACTGAGGAAAGACCAAAAAAATGTATTCCTTCTAGATGGCATTACTGAAATAACTTTCTTTTTCTGCCTTTAAACAGTTTTATTTGAGCACCTTATTATGACCTACACTGTTTCAAGTTTGTCCATTTTTATACCTTACATAGAATATACATGATATCAAAACAGATGAAGATAAGTGGTAACAACACCTGAACAGGATTACATTCTGGCATAAGACTTTTAATATATAACTATATTTCAAATAATATAAATACATGTGAATTCTAAGTATTAGGGTCTAATGCCTATTTAAAAATATAAATGAACTATTTGAAAATATTTTGAACATCTCAGAAAATAAATAAATGATTGATTAGGTCACAGCTTTTCAAATTTGTAACATATTATATCTAGAACAGTATTCATCTGGATTTAGTTATGCAGAGGTGTGAGTACATTATATTATACAAATTTTGGAGTATCACCATGTCATTACAATCCATGTTTCCATGTCCACTCAAGCTCTATCTGATGATCATGTATTTTGATAATAACTTTGCAGTGTAGTTTCAATGAAAAAGACTCCATTATAAGATTGTCATTTTCAAAGCACAACACTCCTCCCTAGAGATTTTGCATGTTACATCTAGTGTGTATGAATGATGGTTTCCCAAGATCCACTTCAACAGTCTGATTGCACAAAAATCCACAATGCTGCATCCACCAACTTGACCATTATATCTTTGTATGGAACAGCAGGAATACACATTTCATTCTCCAGCTACTTGAGGTAGGTGATGATACCCTGTTGGTCTGATTTCCAGATGAAAATTATTCTTTATTATGTTGCATACTGTGGCCTGAGACAAGTGGACAGCTTTTTCCACTGACCTTTGTGTTTGTGGATTCTCATCTGTTACAAGACATCAAGTGTAGGCTATGGTTTGTCGTAAGTCTCTTTCTAAATGGTCCTGGTATGCTATGTTGATCCATATTTCTTCATTTTCCAATGACATTAAGTAAAAAGACATCCCTGAGTTGAACACATCTTTATGTTCTGAATCATGAATGCTTTATTTCTAAAAGGGTTATTACATACCCTTCTCATAAGTGACCAATGTTTGATGGTATCACAGTACCTATAAAATGTTGAACAGTGTCAAAATGTAGTTCTGAAACATTCCATTCCACTACAACTTTATACTGACTGTGGTTGTCATGTAACTTGCTGATTTGTATATTCAAATTTGTTTTAATATAACATACTCAATTCTGTATTAAAGAAGTTAATACTTAGCTCTTTCACGTAATTTTAATAGGTTTGATAGGACTTTTCAATACACTACACATGTAATATTTTGTTTTTGTTTGTTTTAGCACAGAGATGAACAGTGCACTATCTTTGTTGTGTACAGTGCAATGATTGAACTCTAAAATCTAGCATTATAAGTCCCTCAAGCTTAATGCCAAACCATTAAGAGACAAGATATTTTCAAAATAAGTACAGGAAAATAGTTAAACCTTTCATTTTTAACACTTAACTGGTTAACTATTAATACACTGATCAATTATACACCCATACTCACCTTCTTCATGATTTTTTTTAATCTGCATAGTATAATTTTTTCACATTAGTCATGATATACAAAGGTGATCTGTAAAGAGTTTTCTGAAATTAAACCTTATGTTAAATTCAATATTTTCTCAAACAACTTTTTAAAACTAAAAAAATTTCTTACAGTTTAGCAAGTGCTTCTCCTCCTGATGGTGGTGGCTGATACAATGTAGCTCCTTCCACTTCTACTGGTCGACGTTTAGTGATTTGTTCTCGTTCAATAGCGGCAATACCAGAGTCAGTGTCTAATATCATAGGAAGGTCTCCCCATCTTGGTTGAAACATTCCTCTTAAGTGAATGTATTTGAAAATAAAATTTCATTTTTCAGAAATACTTTTTTTTTATTATTATAAAAGATAATATCACAGATTTATTAAAAAAAGACAGATGGAGGAATAACTGGAAAGATATGTCCTGATGATTCTTAGAAATACAATATTTTAGTAATTATAAATTGGCTGAACTCAAGCTATTCCTTCCTGTATTTGTTAATAGATTGCCACATGTTCATTATGAGAAAGAATATTATGTGTAGTGTGGTGTAATATACAAAAACATGCAAAGTGCACAAATGGGTTAAAGTTAATATCTGTGAAACTGAAATCTGTTTTTCACAATAAAACTTTAGAAAAATTTAAGTTTCACAGTTATAACTGCTTTCAGTGTTAACAAGTATCATAACAGTCACTACTTTAAAAAAACAAAGATATACAACAAGTACACTATTATACCCTTATTTTGAACATATTCAAAATATTAAAAACAAGGTATTTAAAATTAAAAATAAGATAATCACAACAGTATCCATGATAAAATAGCAGACTCCAAAAACTGTTATTACATGAAACAACATCAAATATAATAAAAAATTACTAGTTCAACTTCCTGAATTTTAAATTAAAAAAATATTAAGGGTTAATATATTATATAAACAAGCAGACCCAAGTAATATCGATAAAATATTTTTTATGATATCAAAATTATTTAAATAAATATAAAAATAACCATAACAAAATTCTCAGTTTTCTTCACTTTTATACTGATTTACAAGTTAAGATGATCCTACACATATTCCAACTCACTAGTTTGCAACCCTTTGACCATTTCAATATGAGAAAAGTCTGCAAATCTCAACCTAGCCCAATATTGTCCTATTGCTTCTCTATTTAGAAACTTTTGAGGATTAAAAATTTAATCTCAGGCCCACTGACAGGGGGGAGGGTTATGCTGTAAAGCCTGCAAAGCATTTTTA